GTATTAATATACGAGCTGTAAGTTGAGGTTCTTCTGTACCGTCATTGCTCACCTTGACTTGTCTAGTTAAATTTTTGAATTTTTTCTTGATGAGATTCCGGGAAACATTGATCAAAAGCTGAAGTAATTGGCTTGGTTTAGTAACAGCAAGTCCTATCGTCATATGCCCAAAAGAAAATGAAATGAATAAGCACGATCACAACAGCAAATTGATTAGCTTGAATTTAGATATGGATGTACAATAAAGGATATGAAATTCTCTTCATTGCTCCCTCCGAACAAACACATGAACCAAGGGGAACAAGAATTCGAACATCAAAATTATAAAACGTTTAGTGCATAAGCAAAGTTATACGCTCCTTATGAAGAAAAATGGACTTAAAGCAGGAGATTGTAATGAACATCATTTTCCTTTACTTTGAGATTCAGACACAGTAGTAGACTGTTAAAAAGTCATGTTGCAGCGTCTGATATGTTATATTCACTAAATAGTTCCTTGCCTTGCCTCGAGTTCCATCCTTTTCTCTTTGGCTTCTCCTTAGCATTCTTTTGTCGCTTTGGATATACAAGCTTCGTTGAAATACAACAATTCAGTTGCAAGATATAAAAGTGTTTGTACAGGTAGCACAATATGCTTCTGATGCTGGGAATGGAAAATCTGCATTCAGTAACGTTGACGGATGTTTAAGGTAACATTTTTAGTTGTAGATTTGCAATATGTCATTTCACGTGCTTCAGAATATGCACTGTCTCTTGGAATTACCAAGAAAAGAAGACACATTTTATAGCGTAGCATAATTCCTTGTTGCAGAGCTTTGGAAGATCTGGATTCCCTACTTCTGCGTGCTTCAAGGAATGATTCAGGAGCTTCAATTAAATCAATGGAAATGAAAATTGGTACTGCGCTTGATGAATTGGACAGGTAACTTTGAGCATGCAAAATGTGCACTAAAGTTTCATATTTCTTTCGTAATTGACAGTGGATACATGATATTTCTTTCCCATTACAGTCTTCTTAAAACAGTTCCAGCTGACGTGCTGGAGAAAGGAAGGGCCATGGCCGATGCATATAGGACTTCAGACGAGGACACGGAACTTGAAAACCTGGACCCAGAGTTAAAGAAACTGGAATCGATACTGTGATTTCCATTTTATTTAAGTGGAGTCCAAAGTGTCTTGATTTATAACTTGCATATATAACTTCGGTTATCCAAGCATCAAGCTCCAAATTAAGAGAAATTATGGTACATGTATACGAGAAAATATTTTGATTTGTACATCACCTTTATATATTATACGAAATGAAAATCAAGACAACGTGACCTAACCAATTATACTAGCAGGCATCAGGAGTTTCATATGGCAACTCTCAAGTTCGATAAAATAGAAAATAATAAATAAATTATTAGCAACACGACGGGCTACTTCTTTCCAAGTTATAAGAACCATGTCAAAAAGCAACAAATTCAAGTTCAACTTTATTTATATAAGAAATGGTGCTTCAATGCATAACTGCAGTACCTTAAAATCTAATAAACAGTCTTGCATGCATAAAAAGAAATACATAGTGAATTGTGATTCATTGCATCTCTTATATCAGAAGAGGGACCTATTACTTAGATATGAACACAC